GGGGGGATTGAATACAGATGATGCTACACATTTTTTGAGGGTATGGTCCCTTTTAAAATAGCCAGCACCTAATCAAAGTAAACCTTGCAACAGTTTTGCGAAGCTTTCTGACACGTGCGACAGATTCAGGTAGTTCTTACTATTGTCAGTTTTAGTATGTCGTTATGGCTGCAATAGATTCAAAAGAGTTAGTGCTGGTTCACAGATAAGCAAACTGGCCGTAATCAGTTGGTGTATGGATAGATGCCAGTGCTGGGAAGCTGTCGTGAATATGACAGCTTCTGGATTCGGGCTCCCTGGTTATCACACCCGCTTCCTAGCAACTGATGTCTCATCCCTGTCCCATTTAGCTGCCGGCTGGGAGATTCCCCACATGACAGCTGAAAATAAAGGGCGGGTGTGTGGGTGACATTGTCCAGTGGCGATGGTCGTGTATGGACAATGGCACTAGCATCTCCATTGCTTTGTTAACTTTCAGCTGTTGGCAGGGGTGGACTGACCATTTGGGCAGTGCCCGAGGTCAGTAGGGGGCCTCATTTGTGGCATCCCACAGAACCAGGCTGGAGTGTCTACTCAGTCACCTTCCAGGGACTCTACTCTTCACCTGACCCTTCACAGCAGAGCTTTTAAATCCCCTGCGGAGTCCTGATTACACAGTGAGTGTCTTGAAGGGGGGGAACCCGAGCCTCTGCTCCTTCCATAGAGGACACATTGGATTGTCAAAAGGAGTGATCGGGGAACAGCGCACTGTCTGTTGAGATGTATGAAGCCAGCATTGTGTACACAGTGTGCTGCTTTGTTCCTTGTCATAAACTTTCTCCACCTCCCTAACCTGCCTGCTTGGTCTGCTCTGTGGCCATGCTGGAAGAATCCTAACAGGCTGGGAGGGGAAGTGAGGGGACCATAAACAAGTTCCCAAGAGGAAGGAGAGGGTTGAGGTTGTTCATACGTCTGTGTTTGTACACTTCTACTGCCTGTGTGTGCGCTACCCTAAGACACAGGACAACACTGGCTGCGTGAACCCGCTCACCCACTGTATATACAGCTTATCACAGTATTTAGGGTCCTTGATAGAGAGACCAGTCCCTCTCCACCTACTACTGCGTATGTCATCCTCCAGGTCCCTGATTAATAGGGACAGCCTCTGTTCTGTAAACAAACCCCTCTGTCCTTTTTATTTCTTCTTCAGTCCCTCTACTAAATGTATATATCATTGTTCTAAACTGCTTTCCCGCTGCCCTATAGCAGATATAGAGGGTGGCAGGGGTGTGCAAAATCACGTGATTTTTCATTTCCGGAGAGGGGGCATGCACGTGCCCTACCCGCGCCTCTGGCCTCGGCTGTCAATCACTGGGTCTCGGATGGTGATTACTCGCCGGTGATCGTGAAGCATTACTGATGAAGAGAACTGCAAGTAAACAATACAGTTCTCTCCGTCAGCTCCTGTACACTGCTTTGCATGGCTCTTCACAGCCATACAAAGCAGTGTGCTTACTGTGAAGCACGAACACACATCTTACAGTAAAAGAGCACACTGTTAACCCTTTGATCACACTACTTGTTAGCACTGATCACTATTAGTGTCACTGGGGATGTCAGTGACAGTCCCCCCCAGTGTCAGAATGCCCGCTACAGTCCAGCTATAAGTTGCTGATCGCCGCCATTACTAGTAAAAATTAAAAAAAAAACCGTGTGTGTGTGTGTTGCCATTTTGCAAATGCTATAAACCAATTAATTTACACATATTGGGATTTTTTGTTTTTAGCAAAGATGTAGTATACATTTTTGGCCTAAAAAAAGACTAAATTTTTTGATTTTTTTTCCAATTTTTTATTGGACATGTTTAATAGCAAAAAGTCAAAAAAATATAAATTTTTTTTTTTTTTTTTTATGCAAAAAATAAAGCACAGGCAATCAAATACCACTTGAAAAAAAGCTCTCCATGGGAAAAAGATGTAAATTTCATTTGGCTGCAGTGTTGCATGACTGCGCAATTGTCAGTTAAAAGTAACAGCACCGTAACGCAAAAAATGGCCTGGTCAGGAAGGAGGGTAAATCCTCTGGAGGGCAAGTAGTTAAGGGACCATTCCTGATATTCTTTGTGCCGAGTTTGATATGTGCCTGTGGGACTCATTTGTGGCACAGCAATCAAATCACATTTATACAGATAAGTCTGGGTTTTGTTTAACTATGCCCCATAAGCCCCTCCTGTCAACATTTTTGGCCACACCCACAGTTCATGGCAGACAAGCGCCCCACATTATTATTTATTACAGGTACTTGTATTGCGCCGTTATTTTATGCAGCACTTTCCATAAAATATATTACATTCACATCAGTCCCTGACTCTCAAAGGGTGTACAATCTAAGGTCCCTAACTCCTCACATTCATACATACACATACTAGGGCCAATTTAGACAGGAGCCAATTAACCTACCAACTTGATTTAAATCATTAGTGAAAAGGCTCGATTTGAAATCCATAATTTTTAAAGAGCAACTGTCATCTGTGTCCCACAGCGGCTCCTCTGACCCGCTGTTGACTCACCGACAGTCCCATTCACTTTTAGTGGGACGGCTGGTGATGCGGCAGTGACACAACAAGGTGAGGGATGTGACAGCAGGAGGTGAGTGGATAAAAAGAAACACAGAGCCTCTAAGTATTTACTGTGAAGGTATTTAATAGAGAAGTGGTAACTCACATCTTAGAATATAAAAACAGGCTCATGGGTAAGAGGGTGACACGTCTGTAGCCAGATGATGTTGTGTTTCTGATCCAGAGAGGAGATCGATTGAGTCCGTCAGCAGATGGTGCTGTGCATGTGCAACATGGATGGTAAGCCTGGTGGAATCTCCAAGGTGTCTGCCAGCAGATGGTGCTATGCATATGCAGCATGGATGGTGGAGCCTAGCAGAGTCTCCAAGATGTCCGGGATCAGCACATGGGGCGTCTGACATCATCAAAATGCGACGCGTTTCTGAGCATGTGCAAGACGAGATGAGTCCAGGTGCACGCTTTAATCAGGCCCGCTAATAGGTGCTGCTGTGATGGATCTAAAATAACAGGTGCTCTTTAAATGTAAAGAATCCGACTCATTCTTGCTGGTAGTTAGCTTATTATCTAAAAAGCAAACCTTCATTTGGTTTGCAAAATATTAAAAAGATTCTTTCAGGTTAGTAAAACAGCAGCAATATCAGAACAGCTTTTAGGTTAGTAGGTTAATCACACATAGCTGGAGAACTCAGATTCTTTTATTTCATGTTTTTTTCTCATGGTTACTGTGAATTGTGTGAATGCATCAATGCAGTGCATGTTCTCATCTTGGATTCATTGAATGAGTTTACCAAAAATGTAAATATTGCAGAATATACCGCCTCGTGCTACATAACGAAGCTCCATTTCATGCTGAATAAACTAAATTATTAATGTATCTTAACCGCTTCCCGACCGCCCTATAGCAGATATACTAATCTTTGTAGTGTGGGAGGAAACTGGAGTACCTGGAGGAAACCGATGCAGGCACAGGGAGAACATGCAAACTCCAGACGGGTGGTGCTCTGGCTGGGATTTGAACCAACAACCCTAGTGCTGCTAGGCAGAAACGCTAACCACTTAGCCACTGTGCTGCGTTCTTTCTTTTCACATGCGCACCCCTTGGCCCTTGCAGTAACCAAACCCTCCACACACACACCCTGCCCCTGCCCCTGCTCAACAGGGGAGGATGTGTGTGGATAGCAGGTGATCAGTGCAGTGGGTGGGGGAACTAACTGAAACCGATCCTTTGTGGCTGTCATAAAGCTGACATCTCTTGCTGCTGCAGTGAGATCCACAAAAGATTGGTTCCAGTTATTTCCCTTTTTTGTCTGGGTGTGATGTGTGTGTGTGGGGAGACAGGGGCCCCCAAGATCTCCTATTGCTCAGGGACCTCATGAGTTGTCTGTCCACCGCTGGCTATTGGCCAAGGAATCTCAGGCTGCAAGCTGAATTTGGCTGTTGCTTTGACTCGATCCGCTGCACACCCCGCACTCTTTGCCTATACAAGTGCCACATCCCTAAACTAGGTGTAACAGAAAGCTAAAGATTGATGAGATTTTTTTTTTTTTTTTTTTAGGCAGTAAAAAAAGTTTTTTTTTTTTTTTGTTTTTTTTTTTTTTTTTTTAATAAAAAAATATACTTTTTTATTGTGCAATAATTTTAAAAAGG